TCTTTAACCATTTTATCTTGCATTTTGATTTCTAACAGATAATTATACATTTTCTTAACTATTTTATATTTTGAGCATAATAAATGTTTATCAAATGTCATTTGTTTTGAATAAAAAACCTCTATTTTGTCTTTTGTACATCTAGATTCCAGCTATGCTCTAGACCACCAGTCTATGTAAATATTCTGTGTCTCTAGCTCTTCTTTAGACCTTAATTCACAATCCTTTTAAAATAAATCTTGATATCTTAAAAGTTTTGCTTTCGTCATAAGATTAGGCTATCTAAAGGCCTCTATAGGTGATACCCATACTGGTGTTTTGTTTTGTTTTTTTGATAAATTTGTTGTATAAACTTTTTCCAAGTTCCCAATAAAGCTCTTCTTATTATATGCAAATTAAAATGCTTTTGCTCTTTATCCTTTTTATACCATAAATAAGCGTGCTAGCCTAGCTGCATATCATGTCCTTCCAAATTGAGTAATCTATCATTTTCCAAAGTTATCCATTCTTTTATTTATTTATTTGTTTGTTTATTTATTTATTTAGGTCCCTCGCATTTTTTGTCCTTTATCATGTCCATCTTTGCGCAAAATGTTCCTCTAATATCTCCAATTTTCCTGAACAGATCTTTTTTTTCCTTTTCTGTTATTTTCCTCTATTTCTTTGCATTGTTCATTTAAGAAGGCCCTCTTGTCTCTCCTTGCTATTCTTTGGAAGTCTGCATTCAATTTTCTGTAACTTTCCCTATCTCCCCTGCATTTTGTTTCCTTTCTCCTCTCTGCTATTTCTAAGGCCTCGTTGGACAGCCACTTTGCTTTCTTGCATTTCCTTTTCTTTGGGATGGTTTTTGTTGCTGCCTCCTGTACAATGTTACGAACCTCTATCCAAAGTTCTTCAGGCACTCTGTCCACCAAATCGAGTTCCTTAAATCTGTTCTTCACTTCCACTGTATATTCATAATCCATATTTTGAAAAATCTGTTCTTCATGTGTTTTCTTTACTCATTAAAAAGCCTTTTTATGCCAGTGTGGTGGGGTTGAAGGTTACTGTAAGCTTTTAATATGTGCTGTGCTGTATTGTTTTTTTAAAATCAGATAACAAACCAAGAGAAGCAGAACTCTCTATCTCCAGCTATTTGGACAAGAACAAGAACCAAGTGTGAAGCAAGAAAAAATAAACCCCAAAAGGAGAACTCTCTATCTCCAGCTATTTGGACAAGAACAAGAACCAAGTGTGAAGCAAGAAAAAATAAACTGACACCCAAAAGGAGACAAAAAGACAGAATGGAAACCAACCAATGACAGAGAAGGGTACATCTTCAGTTTCAAAGAGTGCTGATTTTTACAAACTCCTGATCGCTTGGAAAATGTCAAGGAAAAGAAAGGTGCATCATGGGCAGAAAAGCATTCAAATTGTATAAATAGACATGGCTAAATTGACATGGTGGCGCTGTACGTTAAACCACAGAAGCTTCTGTGCTGCAAGGTCAGAAGACCAGCAGTTGTAAGATCAAATCCACATGATGGAGTGAGTCCCCATCGCTTGTCGCAGCTCTTGCCAACCTAGTAGTTCGAAAGCATATAATATGCGAGCAGATGAATAGGTACCACCACAGTGAGAAAGTAACGGCATACCATGTCTAGTCGCGCTAGCCACGTGACCACAGAAACTGTCTTTGGACATATGCTCGCTCTACGGCTTGGAAAGGAGATGAGCACTGTGCCCTCAAAGTTGGACACGATTGGGCTAAATGTCAAGGGGAGCCTTTACCTTTACCGTAAGTTGACTCAAAGGAAAAACTAAATCAATGAATGGAGCATGGAAAGACCATGAATAGGGACAATACTTTTTCAGGTAAAAACCTTCTCAAAGGGGTGAAGCAATATAAATGCCTCCATTGTGGAAAGACCTTCAGCCAAAGCAGTAGTCTGAGTTCACATCAAAGAACCCATACAGGGGAGAAACCATACAAATGCATGGAATGTGGAAAGAGCTTCAGTCATTGTGGTCACTTTAGTTTGCATCAAAGAACTCACACCGGGGAGAGACCATATAAATGCATAGAATGTAAAAAGAGCTTCAGTCATAGTGGTGACCTTAGGATGCATCAAAGAACCCATACAGGGGAGAAACCATATAAATGCATGGAATGTGGAAAGAGCTTCAGTACTAGTGATAAACTTAGGTTACATCAAAGAACCCATACAGGGGAGAAACCATATAAATGCATGGAATGTGGAAAGAGCTTCAGTACTAGTGATAAACTTAGGTTACATCAAAGAACCCATACAGGGGAGAAACCATATAAATGCATGGAATGTGGAAAGAGCTTCAGTACTAGTGATAAACTTAGGTTACATCAAAGAACCCATACAGGGGAGAAACCATATAAATGCATGGAATGTGGAAAGAGCTTCAGTACTAGTGATAAACTTAGGTTACATCAAAGAACCCATACAGGGGAGAAACCATATAAATGCATGGAATGTGGAAAGAGCTTCAGTACTAGTGATAAACTTAGGTTACATCAAAGAACCCATACAGGGGAGAAACCATATAAATGCTTGGAATGTGGAAAGTGCTTTAGTCACTGTGGTAGTGTTAGTTCACATAAAAGAACTCACACCTAAAACTGAAAACTCCTTTTTGAAAGTTGCTTCAGATTTGTATTAAAAGTGAAAGCTTTTAAAAATTATAGCTGGGGATGTAATTTACATTGCAGCTCCTTGTTTTAGTAAAAAAAGAGCTATTGATAAGAAGGCATAAGTAGCTCATTCAGTTTTGTGCTGGATTCCTCTGGAAAAAATAGACAACAAATGCCTACGTGCAACAGATAAAAGAGAAAAAAATGGAGAGTATTTTGAGGTGCCACCTGTGATGAGTTTTACTTCTAACATCAATTAACAAAGAGATGCAAGCTCTGGTCTCTTCAGATCATGGACTGCACTGGGTTGGAGGTGAACAAATCCTTGGATCCTCAACATCAGAGCTTGTCAGACACTGTGAAACTGAAGGGGGAACAGGCTGGCTGGAGCCACAATTGTGGCAAACGGAGCAACCCGTACAGGCGCCGGGAGCCTTCCTGCATGGCTATCACAGACTGTACCTGCCCAGGACAAATTAGAGCCAGCCCCCTGTGTGCTTCGGCCCACCCAGGTTCAGCCCATAGAAACAGCACACAGGGAAGGTGCCTACAAGAAGGAGGACCCAGGAAGAGACGGTGGTCTTCAAAGAGCTCCCATCACTCTTCCACTCTTGTTGGAGTCTCCGCTTTTTCCTAGAATTTGGCATATAAAATTCTTGCTGCTCTAGTTCCATTATGATGAAATATCTTTTTTTGTTTTCTGTCAAGTCTAGTATTATATTTTACAAAAACAGTTCAGGTTCATATTGAATTGTAGAGGACAACATTTTTGTAAAAAGTGGCAGACTAGTTTCCCAAAGCTCTTAGCTTCCCTGCAAGTCCACTATATATGATAAAAGGGCCTTTGTTACCTGACAGAACACCTCCCACCTAGATCTACCCGTATCACCCAATCTAGCCAGGAGGTGAGGCTGAGGAGCCTAACGCTGAGGGAGGCCCAGAAGGAAAAAACAAGAAACTGGGCCTTCTTGGCAGTGGCTCCTTGTCTTTAGAATAGCCTCCCTCTTGAGATTCGCAAGCCTTCCCTCCACCCACCATCTGATTTTTTTGTTGTCTTGTGTTTTCTCCCATCTTGGATCATTATTTACTTAGTAATATATTGTTATGATTTTAAATTGTTATATTGTTATATGTTGTTACCCGCCCAGAGTAGTCTATATCCCTGGTTCCCAACCTTGGGTTACTCAGGAGTTTTGGACTGCAACTCCCAGAAGCCTTCACCACCAACTGTGCTGGCTGGGGTTTCTGGGAGTTGCAGTTAAAAAACATCTGAGTAACAAAGGTTGGGAACCACTGGTCTATATGACTAGATGGGTGGGCTATAAATGTGATAAATAATGGGCTATCCCCTGAAAATAATGCAAGACGTAGCCAATGATGTCTTAACCGCTGGCAACCAATGTGAGTACACCCCTAAGTGACAATGTCCAAATTGGGCAGAATATTTTCCAGCACTGCCTTAACTGTCTTGGGCATAGAGTTCACCAGAGCTTCACAGGTTGCCACCGGAGTCCTCTTCCATGACAACATCACAGATCTGGTGGATGTTAGTGACCGTGCGACCTCCGCATTCCGTTTCAGGATGCCCCACAGCTGCTCAATAGGGTTTAGGTCTCGAGACATGCTTGGCCAGCCCATCACCTTTACCCTCAGCTGCTTTAGCAAGGCAGTGGTTGTTTTGCAAGTGTGTTTGGGATTGGAATACTGCTCTGCGGCCCAGTCTCCAAAAGGAGGGGATCATGCTGTGCTTCAGTATGTCACAGTCCATGTTGGCATTCATGGATCCCTCCATGACCTGTAGCTCCCCAGTGCCAGCAGCACTCATGCAGCCTCAGACCATGACACTCCTACCACACTTGACTGTAGGCACGACATACTTGTCTTTGTACTCCTCACCTGGTTGCTGCCACACACACTCGACACTATCTGAACCAAATAAGTTTATCTTGGTCTCACCGGACCACAGGACATGGTTCCGGACATCCATGTCCTTAGTCTGCTTGTCTGTAGCAAACTGTATGCAGGCTTTGTTGTGCATCATCTTTAGAAGAGGCTTCCTTCTGGGATGACAGCCCTGGAGACCA